ATAAGTAAATCTTGGGGACTGCCAACACTTAATAGGAAGAAACTTGTGTATGAGAACTCGCATTTCAAAGAAACGTCTTACAATGTTTTCCAGCAGAAAGAGGACAATAACCATAAATCAAAATATATACACGTATATGGAAATTCTTGAACATGAGATAAAGAAACCCCTAAGTGACGTTAAAAGAAGGCAAAAATTTTATCAGATGGAGCATACTTTTTGGCTACCTAGCCGGGTAGAAGATTTAGATAAGGCTTTCTTAAAACGCTGTAAACAAGCAGAAAGATCCAGACACGATGGGGGATATTATCCATCTACAGGTACTAGAAGCTTAATTTTGCCTGTATTAGAATATCTGATAAATTCCTAAGTTGCCCCACTGAAAATTTAATTCCTCAGTAGATAAAGGGAGCAATGAGGCAAACATGCAACTATTTGTGCCTAACACAAAGGCCAAAATAAATGATAATGAAGAAGGGACAGGAATTCTGGTAGTAATCATGCCAAGGAAAGAAAATTCCTGGGCATTGTCAAATATGTAGCCTACATCTGTTGTTGGAAATTTTGACAGTCACTCATGATATGCTTAGAAAACAGAAGAAGGAGTGAATTTATAGATGGCTCAATAATCATAATCCAAAAATTAATGATTGGCAGATTCATGTCAACCTCGAGGAAGACCTCTGCTGGGTCTATTCTTGTTATGGTCCTGAAAAACATTTTAAATTGATAACCTGAAGAAATGAGAGCATATTTATACATATCCAGGGAGCACAAAGTGAGAAAGGAGAGATCATATGCAGGATTACATATAGAGTCCATTAACAAATATTGATTGAGCACCTGTATGGGTAAGGTGTTAAAATGAATACATGGATTAATCAAGACACCATTCTTCCTCTCATGATTCCATTTTCAAATGGAGATAAAAAAATATGTACAGATAATCATAAAACAAAGTATTAAGTGACAAACTGCAGAAAGAATACCGGTAAAGTCATTGGATAGGTCAATAAAAGGAACTATTACTTCTATCTAGCTTTATGTGTGTTGGTGGGTTTAGAATCTGGAATGATTTAGTGCACACAATCATAGGAACATGTTAGATAACAGAATTTGGACATGTAATAATAAAGAGAAGGATAATCTAGATTCAGAGAAGGAAAAGCATGGCACTTACACAGGGAACAGTTTGTGGTTTTGCCTGATTAAAGAATGGAACTCAGGGCTGGGCATGGTGGCTCACTCCTGTAATCCCAACACTTTGGGAGGCTGAGGCGGGTGGATCACCTGAGGCCAGGAGTTCAACACCAGCCTGGCCAACATGGTGAAACCCTGTCTCTACTAAAAGTACACAAATTAGCTGGGCGTGGTGGCGGGCACCTGTAATCCCAGCTACTCAGGAGGCTGAGGCAGAAGAATTGTTTGAACCTGGGGGCAGAGGTTGCAGTGAGCCGTGATCATGCCCCTGTGCTCCAGCCTGGGCGACAACAGCAAGACTCCGTCTCAAAAACAAAAAACAAAACAAAACAAAAAAAACAAAAGAAATGCAGGACAGGGAGCAATAGGAAATAAAAGTTGGGTAATAAGGTTCTGGGATGCAGGTTGGCACAATAAACTAAAAACAATAAAATTAAATTTAACTTGGATGAACTTCTAGTTTTAGGATGGCAGTTTGATGTAGCTCCCCACTTTCTTCTTGAAAATCACCCCTAAACAATTTGAAACAGAATATGACCTCCAGCTTTAATGACTAAGAGGCATATATGAACCAATTACATAAAAATTAAGAGCAGATAGAAGAATGATTGATGACTTAGCAGAGCAAAAGAAGGTCAAGTCCATGTGCCTGACGAAGGAGATGCCAGGAAGAAGCAGCACTTCCAGAATGCTGAAAATGCTTAGGAAATAGATAAACCCCCACCAAAGGCAGAAAGGAGACAAAGGGCTAAAAACAGAAAAATTTGTCTTAAATCAGAAACAGTCTGAGGCAGAAGAAATTGAACCTCTAATCATACTCAGTGACATCAAGCAAAAAGGATAGGCTGGAGTTAAGTGCCAAGTACTGCTAGAAAGTTTAGGCTTTTAAAAAATAAAACAATTATTTATTTTCTTAAATGCTTTTTAAGTTTAAAAAATGTAAACGATATTAAGACATAGTTTAAAATGTTTTTAAGCAATTCTTAATCAGGGTTTTTTTCCCCAAAATACATACGCTCTATGTATCAAGTACCAACTTTAGAGATTCTAATTTTGTAGGGTAGGGCCCAGGAACTTATATTTTGGAAGTTTATCAAACTACTGAGCTAGTGTGAAAAAGGAATCTATCACCTAAATCTATCAAAAGGTGAAATGGTATAGACAAATTATAAGCATTTTCATTCACAGGACTATGTACAAGGTATTGTTGCAGGAATGAGGAATAGTGTAGTACACAAAAAAATTCCCTGTCCTTTTGGAGTTTATAATTTTGTAGGGAAGAGAGAGAGTAAATATATAAAATATGTAGAATGCTGGAAGTTGATAAGAAGAAAAATACAGCAGAGAAGGGGTAAAGGGAATTGGGTAAGAGGACACTGCACTTTAAAACAGCGTGGCCAAGGAAGGCTGTACTTAGAAGGTAATATTTTTGAATATAGATTTGAAGGAGGTGAGGGAGCAAACCATGAAGGTATCTGGGGAAAAGTGTTTCAGGCCGAGAGAATAGCTGAAGCAAAGGCCCCAAGACAGGGGGCTGCCAATGTATTTTTATTCAAGGGACAAAAAGGAGGCCAGTAGAGCTAGAGAAGAGTGAGCGAGGATATGAGATCATAAAGGTAACAGAGGAGCTAAACTGTATAGGATTTCATGGGCCTGTAGAGGATCTTGGCTCTTATTCCTATGAGGTGATAAGACATATGATTAAAAAAGTAAATATTTAAAGGGTCATCTATTTGTTTTTTTTTTTTAAGACAGAGTTTTACTCTTGTTGCCCAGGCTGGAGTACAATCGCATGATCTCGGCTCATTGCAACCTTCGCCTCCTGGGTTCAGGCTATTCTCCTGCCTCAGCCTCCCGAGTAGCTGGGATTACAGGCATGTGCCACCATGCCCAGCTAATTTTGTATTTTTAGTAGAGACAAGGTTTCTCCATGTTGGTCAGGTTGGTCTCAAACTCCCGACCTCAGGTGATCCGCCTGCCTTGGCATCCCAAACTGCTGGAATTACAGGAGTGAGCCACCGTGCCCAGCCCGGGTCATTTATTTTATATGTATATTTATGACTGAAAAGCAATCAAACTTGTTCATGTAATTAATAACAAAAATAAAAGTTGCAAGTGGTATCTGGAAACTTTACCTGGCTAAATAAATCTAGACAGTACCTAATACAGTAGCTTAGCTTAAATTAAGTATTTGATAAATATTTGTGAAATGAACAGATGGTGGATTTATAATGAAAAAGAAAAAGAGTTTTTGAAGTTCTTGTAAAATTGAAGGCAATATATCAAGAATTTAACAATTATCCTAAGATGCAGCCTTCATAAAAGATTTCAGGGCATTTTTACGGAGTATCATCTAATAGATTTTCCTATTTCTTATTTTATATAGATTTGGCAAGAAGGGGCTAATATAAAAAATCTTTCAGTCATTTTGAAGCATCTCCCTTTTGTTTAGAAGAGTGAAACACAGTTTTTGTTTTTGTTTTTTTTTAACAAGTCTACCTTTTAAGCTAAGGTTTTCCTGGGTTCTAGTTTTAAAAATGTGTTCATCATGATTCATGCTTAAACTGGCTGTGTTTTATTCTTCTTAATTAAAAAACTTCATCTATTTTCACCCCAAAGTTTGGTTTATTTTTTTCTAAATTGACCGCCAATATCCTGAGCTCTAGGCTTCAGAAAAAAGGAACTGTGGAAGTGAAAAATCCACTTCTGATAGCTAGGAAAAGTGCAGCTTCCAAATGAGCCAATCTACTCTTTCTGGTTGTCAGAATTTGCTTTTAAATTACTAGGTGATAAACTATCCCATGGATAGCAAAACAAAACTGTCCTTTAGTATTAGTATTCTGCTTCTTTTGCTTGATAATAGAATTTTACAAAAGCATTATTATTATTATTATTTTTGAGACAGGGTCTCTGTCACCTACACTGAAGTACAGTGGCACAATCAGTCAGGTGAGCCAGTGCACCCTTGAACTTCTGGGCTCAAGCAATCCTCCCACCTCAGCCTCTTGAGTAGCTGGGACTACCAGGTGCATGCCATCATATGGAGTTTTTTGTTTTTGTTTTTGTTTTTTTAAATGTAGAGGTAGAGGGTCTTGCTTTGCTGCCCAGGCTGGTCTCAAACTCCTGTCTTCAAGTCATCCTCCCACCTCAGCCTCCCAAAGTGCTAGGATTACAGGTGTGTGTCACTGCGCCAGGCTTTAACTGTTTGATTAACAGAAAAATGATGGACAACTAACTCCTTCAACTATTGAAATAGTTTCTAAAGGAATAAAAAAATGTTAACTTCTGCTATTATAGACAACTGCAGATATTTTTGGTACCATACCATGTTATGATTTCTCAGGAAAAATATGAATTCTGAAGTCATATAATATCAAAAGCATTACCTTACATGGCCAAGAGATCATTGATAGATGAACATAAAAATTTTTAAAAATATTATTTGTGCTAATATATGGGGATTAAGCTAGAATCAACTGATTTACCAAATGAATAGTCTACTTTCATTACTTTTTGTATCTAAGATTTGCATTGATAACTTTGTGTAATGCAAAAAAATTTGTATAAATCTATATTAAACTATGTTAATTTAAAGTGTGGGATCGATTCTAATTACAAAGATTTGACTTCTTTTTTTTTTTTAAAAAAATCAGAGAGTTAAAATAGAAAGGAAGAGAATAGAAAACTTGGTTACTTGGTTTAGCAGTTTTCTCAAATTGAAAAAAATAACAGCAAAACCTCCAGGGTTAAGAATTTCAAATGAGGCTGCTACACAAAGAAGACAGACCAAATTAGCTTACCACTTGAACCATTTTGAGATATCTGGCATATCTTGGATCCTTGGCTACAGTTAAGATATTTTCTGCTGATACTTCACTTTCCTGTAGTCCAGAGTCTTGTGTACTGCTCTGCTGTAGAGAGTATTTTGTGTAAATCTTTAGACAATTTACAAAAGGGGTCCATCATGTTACTTAAAAGGAATGCTTCTTTCCATAATTCAAAGGCAATAAATTGCAGAAAAAAAAGCATCTCCCCAAATTTAAATACCAATAATTTAATTATGAGATATGTTTGCAAATATCTACAAATATTTAAATATCACTTCAGAGGAGGTTACACTTCAACACTATATTGGTTCCTTAAAACACAAGTATATTCATGCATTAAAATAAAAATTCTGTTTTACTTGTCCTCAGAGTGCTGATACAAAGCATGAATTATATATAGGTGGTTATACTATTTTAACAAAACTTTTAAGAAACCTAATAAAACTATCAACTGTTTATAAATTAATAATAAATTTACTGAGATAATGATGAATTGATTTCCTAGATATCTATAATCTACCTAATTGAGCCCTTTATTTAGTAAATCATTTTATTCTAAGTGGACATGGCTCTTCTAACTTTTTAGAAAGCAATTTTTGGAGAAGTTGTAGAAGAGAAGCCAGTTTGTCAGACAGAATTATCTGGTTTTATATATTTCAGCTACTGATGGAACTATTAATGGTAACATTGTCTACAGAGTGGTTAAAAGTCATACTAAATACGACTTGTAATAAAGAATCTTGGGGAATGGTCTTTTTAGATGAAAATGCTATTGTTATACAGGCAGTCTTCACTTTGCATGGTACCATGTTACTGAAACTTGTGCATATCAGAACTATATCTTTGCTTAAATGCAAAACTAGAACTGCCTGTATACAGTACTTGATTTTTCTATCAAACCAAACATTTAGAAAAAGCTTAGTTTTGTGAATCTCTCTCATTATCTGTATATAAGCATTAAGAAGAATTTCCTTAGAAGAAATCAATTTTATGTCTATTGTTCATGCTGAAATGTAGATAAATCAATATCTTTATATCTTCACAGTCTTTAGACTATGAATGTGAATTACATATTGAAGTTTTTCCTCAGATAATTCAAATATAAATTAAATCTGTTGAAAATTCCAAAGCAAATAAAACATCCAAAAATCCTTTAGGTTTCTTCTGTTACATAATATAGCTAAGTTTTACAAAAGTCAGTGTGTGTGTGTGTGTATATATATATATGTGTGTGTATATATATATATATTCATCTATAATATACATAAATACAAAAATTCCAAAACACTGTTAATTAAATAAAAAATTAAAACAATAACCAAATATGTTTTTTAACAATTTATGGAAATTAAACTCATATAATAGCAAAATGGTGCAAATGAGAACTATATCCTGGCCAGATATCAACTCTCAGTCGTTAACTTTTGCATAATAACCAAGATCTCAACAAGGTTTAATTATGAAACACCATTGCTATCTGAATGATCCATTAAAACCTCTATCATATCTCTCAACTGTCCTTCATTTATTCTCAAATCAAACTCACTCTGCACAACTGGATATTCTATTGTGAATAATGATGAAATCTGAACCATGAAATTAAAGTTGCAGAAATATCAGTACACAAACTTTGGGTCTTTGACTCATGTATAGATTAGAGAGAGTGATAAATAGATGATTTTTTTAAAAAGTGCACTATTCCCCTTTATCTGTTAATTGAGTGAACTATAATGTCAATAAAAACTCTGGATTAAGCAATACTTAAGCCCACTTCAAAATATTTTGTATAAAATATACCAGTTGATAACAACGAAGAAATGAGAAGTTGATGTGAATATTAAGAACATGCTGAGCAGTTATTTTATTAAGCTAATCAACACACAACTTTATCACAGTATTTCAAACTTTGGAAGCCAAAAGAACTTCATAAACCCTCTAAATAAATACATAAACATTTTAAAATAAAATTGCCAGAGATATACCAGGTTATTCTGAATTTGCAAAGCAAATTAAGAAATTCAGCTGTGATTACTGGTAATCAATTTTTTGGGACATTAAATATGTGAGGACCAACACAACTGCATAAAAATTTTAAAGGGCATATTATAGATGGCATTCATAATAGCACCTGGAAAAATTAATAATCAAAGTTAGGTATACTTAAAAATATTATAGAAATATATGACTGCTCTATCCACCACATAATAACTACTAGATAGAGTGGAAATATTTTCTTGATATTCTTTATAGATGCTTTGTTTTAGAAAGAGGATAGTCATATTTAATTGAGAGAATATAAAGTTAAACTCCTCTATAACATCTGGATATCCTCTTGCATTTTATAAGTTTGAGTGGCCAGGATAATGAAGTTTGCTATATTAAATAAATGGATGTTAAATTTTATAATATCTAATGAAGTAAATGATAATCTAATTTATTACCCAAATATATACTATATTCTAAATATATGGCTTTTCCTACAGGGCCTCATACCACATATCCTCAATATGTTTAATAAATTGAACACAGGTACTGAGAACAGAGTAGTGTAGTGTAGTATAGTGTAGTGTAGCAGGTAAGTGCTAGGGCTCTTGGCACCAGACTGTCTGGGTTAAAATTCTAATTCTTACATTACTTTTCGACCTTCAGCAAGTTACTTAACCTCTATATACCTCATTTGACCCATCTATAAAGTAAGATTGATAATATGGTGCTTATATTATAGGGCTGTTGTAAAGATTGAATTCGTTTATGAAAGGCACTTAGAAACGTGCATGCCTTGGTAGACAGAAAGCACTCTTGAAGTGTTAGCTGTTATCATCATTGTCAACATCATCATGATCTAAAAAATATCCTGTGAAAAGTGCCTCCAGGTACAAAGGCAGAATGCCATTATAAGTCTATTTGTTTAATTTGTTTATTATTACTTTGGTAGGCCACCACTTTGATAATTATTTTGTTTTAGATTTTAATACCTCGCTGAGATACACTAGAGATTGTTCTCAAAAAACAAATAATTTTTATTTTTTGAAATAAAAAGTAATAGAAAATTGAAATTCATACAGAAGCATAAGTGAGTGTTAAGATCTAAGAGCCAAATGTAAAGTATAGCTTTTATTAGGATGCTGATTCAAATGAATCAACTTCAGAAACAGTTTTTACACAACTGGTATTTCTAAGATCAGTAGCTCTCAAATTTTAAGAGCCTACAGATCACCTAGGGGTCTTGTTAAAATGTAGATTCTCAGCAGTTTTGGGGTGGAGCCTGAGATGCTTCATTCTAACAAGCTGCCAGGTGATGCCCATGTGGGTTGGTCCATGGCGTGTACTTGAGTAACAAGGGGTTAGACAATACCAGCGAATGTTCATTTATTTTTATTTTTTTTATTTTTGAGGCAGAGTCTTGCGCTGTCACCTAGGCTGGAGTGCAGTAGTGCAATCTCAGTTCACCGCAACCTCTGCCTCGTGAGCTCAAGTGATCCCCTCACCTCAGCCTCCTGAGCAGTTGAGACCACAGGTGCGTGCCACCACACCTGGCTAATTTTTGTATTTTTAGTGGAGACAGAGTTTTACCATGTTGCCCAGGCTAATCTCAAACTCCTGAGCTCAAGGAATCCACTTGCCTCAGCCTCCCAAAGTGCTGGGATTACAGGCATGAAAGACTGCACCTGGCCAATTATTGTTAATTACATTGTATATGATAAGGGCATTTATATAAGAAAAATGTTACAAAAGAACATGTCAAAACTTTTCAGAGATGCTCAAAAATTTATGCAGGGGTGAGATGATAAGCTGTCTGGGATTAATTTCAGCAAGTGACCAAGAAAATAGATAAAGCAATTGTGACAAATCATAACTGGTGAATTCAGGTCTATTTTTGTGTATGTTTAAAAATTTTACAATAAAACATTTTAAAAGTACATTTCTTATAAGAACTTAGAAAAATTTCTAATTATTTTGAAGAAAATAATTATTTGAAGATTTTTCCTAGTCCTACATAGACTGATTTTCTTTTTTATAGGCAAAGTATTAACTTAAGGAAGCCCTTCAAAATAACACAGCTAATTTGTTTTTCCCAAACTTCATTTTCTATGTTAAGGTTTTAAAATTTTACTATTAGAAGTTTTACATTTTTATTTTTCTTCCTTCCAACCTGCTGCTTAAAACTATCAGTTTCAACCAAAAACATCTGCTCATTTCTTAGAACTCACTTACCTGTGGTTGCTCTGAAGTGGCTTCAGGATGTGCTCCATTTGTGACACTGGTGACATTTAAAGGAGATACTTCAACTGTGACATCATCTAGGCCTGGGATAGATGACAACTGAAAAAAGATGAAAAGAAAATTGGTATTGAAATATGAAGATAGTACCTGCATAAACACTGTAAGTTTCTAGGTTTGTATATTTTTAATAGCTGTCTTAAGTTTTAAGGCTATACAAACAGGTTCATAATATCTTGTCTTAAATTTTCCATGTCATAAACTAAAAGTGGAAGACAGTCACAAATTATTTTGAAGAACTTCTCAAAAATCTAATTTAGTTTATATAACCATTATTTTCAAAATACATGCAATCCTAGTGTAATGACTGAGAGCTGGTCTTTGAAGTCAGACTGTCTAGGTTTAACTTTTAGCTCTACCACTCACAAGCTGTGTGATCTTGTGCAAATCTCCCTATGTCTCAATTATCTCACCTGTAGAGATAAGAAAATGTACCTAGAAAAGTTGTTGTAAAAATATTTCTATTAATAATACTTTGAAAAAAAAGGGCTTTGTGCAAATTTTGAGTTTCAATTATCTAGGATAAGCCAAAGCTCTTGTCTTTACACTTTAATGTATGACACAGCTCATTCTTATTTCTTTCTTTGAACATTCACTACTGAACGTTATTAAAATACGTTTCTTGTATGCAAAAAAAATGGGCATATTGTTGGTATTTCAACCTGAAATGGTTTAGCATTTCAGGTTAGATCTGCAAGACCCATAAAAACCTTCTTTTCTGAGTTCATCCTGATATCAATGACACACATTTGTCAGACGTTTGGCTAATTTTGGGGATGACTCTATGGCCATGGAGATAACTAAGGTTAACTTGTCCATATGGTAACTTAATGTGTGACCTTGGACTCTAACTCCCTAAAAATTCCTTAAACACTAAAATAAGACACATATTCATAATAAAGAATAATAATAATAAAAAAAAACCCAATGGTAATAAGATCTCAAGCAGCAATACTCATTGAGAACTGTTGACTGATAACCATAGTTAGCACAGTGGCTATGGTCCAAATAGTTTCAAGTGGGTATGGCTGCTAGAGGAATACTTGAACATGTTCAAGGCCAGGTTTCCAAACAAGAGAAATGTTCTAAGAGAAACACAGTTGCTGAAGTCCATAAGGACACGTAGTAAGTACAAACTAGACATTCTGGTCATATTAAAAAGGGATATCATTTTTTTCTTCCTCATAAATATTCACTGAATATTTCTTAGGTTTTTTTTGGTAAATGGACAAAGAAAATATTAATTTCAGAAAAGTTAGTAATGAAAATACACTAGTGTCTCCATAATTTTATAAACAGAAAAAACACATGTAAAAAATATTAAAAATGAAACCAAACTAAATACATCACTGTTATCGAAATCTTTAAGCTTTCAATCTAAAACAGTCTTCTGTTTTTCTTAGTTATCATTTGCAATTTCTGACATCAAAATTGTATTCTTCATTAGCATTTAAGGTATTCGCAAATAGAAACAGATGACATTGTCTCTAAAATTTGCTCTGAGACATCTAAAGATTTATATAACTATTATTGTATTATCACATAATAACTAGTAAAATAAATTTGGAATTTTCTATCAAATGAAGTGCGCTTGATAACAGCTCAACTTGTTAACATGTTACTCGCATTATGCGTTTGCCTAGCACAATGAAAGAAATCTCAAACCATGTGTACGTTTGAATTAATGGTTCATAATGAACACCATTTTCTTTGCAATTGCAGTAAAATTAAAAACACAACCAGTATCACTTCACAGATACAGAAGTTAAATGGAATCACTCCCAAATGCAATGAAAGTTAAGTATGATTAAGAAAGCTGGTATATGTACAGCAAAGTTTATACTACAAATTATTCAGAAATACTAACCTTTGCATCTAAAATATTTAGAGTTGTTTCAATTTGTTGGATACGAAGCGAAAGGTCTGCCAGTTTCTGGAAAAGAAAAATTAGAGACATAAATATAAAGATTTTAATTAAAATAAACTGTTAACAATAACTAAGGGCAGATTTGAAAATATTAAAAACCATTAAATATTTGTCATATTCTAATGTAGTACTGTCTTATTTACATGAGTAGGAATGAGAACTCTTCTATTACCTGTATTAGAAGGCTTCTTAGTTTTTGGTTTTTTTTTGGGACAGAGTCTTGCTCTGTCACCAGGTTGGAGTGCAGTGGTGTGATCTCCGCTCCCTGCAACCTCTGCCTCCTGGGTTCAAGCGATTCTCCTGCCTCAGCCTCCCAAGTAGCTGGGACTACAGGCACGCGCCACCACGCCCAGCTAATTTTTGTATTTTGAGTAGAGATGTTGTTTCACCATATTGGTCAGGATGGTCTCGATCTCTTGACCTCGTGATCTGCCCACCTTGGCCTCCTAAAGTGCTGGGATTCAGGCGTGAGCCACCGCACCCAGTCGCTTCTCAGTTATTTTATAAAATCATATTCACTTATAACAAAGTGACATTTTCTGCAAACTCATTATCAGAGCAGTAAACAATTGTTGAGACCAGAATATAAACAAACCAGGATAGAGCCTTTTGTTTACCACTGTACCTGTAGTGCCCAGCATAGTACCCTGACACTTAATAGGAGCTTAATAATTATTTGTTGATGAAGAAATTTTTTCATAGAAAATAAAAGAATAAAAATTATTCAAAGACACTCTGCAACAAAGTCTGCCTTTATAAATTACTTAAATGCATAAGCATATATAACTCGTCCCAGATTTAAACATCCATAGTTTGAAAAATAAAGGGGGATGGAATTGGAAGACGAGTAATTCATTTCGGAAAGAGAAGAGAAAAAACTAGAGTATTAAAACAAAATCTACCATCAAAATGCAAGGTAAACCAGATTGAAGAGCTTATCATGTTTGTTACTCTATATAAATTGTCAATATACCTTGTAAATATACACCTACACAAAGAAAGGTAACATCATAAAATATGACCTATAAGAACATTTACTTAAAACCTCCTAATCTTAAACATTACATTCAGTCACATAATCCAAGAGCAGTTAGCCAGTTTACAAGTTGGCAGATACACAGCATCCTGACTGTATTCTGGGCTATTATTAAGATCCTGACTATTAAGTAGAACTTTATCATCCTGTGAAATGGTCACTTTGCCCACAATTAGAGGGGACAAAAAACTGAAAGTGGCCACAAAGCTTCTTTACAGATCACTTATTTTTAGGTTAACATCTTGATATCCACAAAGATATAATCCTCAAAGAAAGTATTAGGATCTAGTTTTTACGGTATCAAAGCTAAGTTCACCCTTGACTTCTAGAATTCATTCACATAAGGCTTTTAGGTAAACACCAATACAGGTTTATAACATGTATTATGGATGAATCCCTTTCCAAATTATAAGTGTATTCCTTAAAATCATAGAAATTTAATTTTGGCAAATCTAATCAGTGTCTCAATTCACTAGAGAAGAAATTCTACAGCAAATTAATATGTAAAGTGAATGATAATTTCCACCTTATTTAAAAACGGACATATTGGTTTGCCTGAAGGAAACAAAAAAGGAAACAAAAAATTGAATTAAAAATTTTTCTGTTTTAATATACCTTTAGAAGTATTTACTTTTAAGCAATAATCATCAATATTGTAAATATTTGAGTCTTTGCCTTGCCACATATGGCACACTGTATATGCAACATATCAATTGAAATCTTATACCAAATCTATGAAGTAGGAACTATTATGCCAATTTTAAAGATGAGAAAATTGAGTCTTATAGAAGTAAAATATCCCGAACTCAAACCCTCCAACTCCAGAGGCAATACACTTCATCAGATTTTTTGAGAATTTTACATTGTTAAAACATAATGGTAAATTATTGGGTATTGCATAGAATTTTTGTTATCCAAAGCTAACAAATGATCAATTCGTTTCTCACTAAGATGATTCTGTGCCAAGAGGAAAAGCCTTTTGCTCTTCTGATTCTGAGATGATCACTTACAAAGCGGTTCTGAACTACAGTACATGAACTAGGATGAGAGAAAAAAATTCTACCTTTATTTTTATCTACTTCTAGCTTAAATTTGGCATTGTTTAAAAACATAGTAAAAAAAAAAATCACCGTAGGTTGGGCACAATGGCTCATGCCAGCACTTTGGGAGGCCGAGGCAGGTGTATCACCTGAGGTCAGGAGTTCGAGACCAGCCTGGCCAACAGGGTGAAACCCCCATCTCTACTAAAAATACAAAAAAATTAGCCAGGTGTGGTGGTGTGCGTCTGTAGTCCCAGCTACTGAGGAGGCTGAGGCAGGAGAATTGCTTGAACCTGGAAAGCGGGGGTTGCAGTGAGCTGAGATCATGCCACTGCACTCCAGCTTAGGCGATAAGTGAGACTCTGTCTCAAAAAAAAAAAAAAAAAAAAAGAAAAAAAAAATCATGGTGGTTTTAGGATCTATGACTGTCATCAATAGAAATCATAGATTTTTTTTTAATCACATCACAATTGCTGCAGATTTCTTTACACTTCAAAATTATGGTTATTAGACATACGAAAGGATAATATAATTTAATGCTTTAATAAATAACCTACTAGTATAACATAGTTTTAAATTTTTTTAAGTATATAACTGGTTTCTTTTGTAATCCTAGGCATTTTATTTTATCCACCTGAAAACATTAATTTGGTTTCACTAGACTGTCAAAGTGTGCATGGCATGACTAAGAAAGAACTCCTTTTCAAAGATAATTGAGTCTAATAAATGGTTTTGTATGTTCCAATGTAATTATTGCTATAACATACCTGAACGTATACTTTTTAAAGAGACATTGTTAAGTGAAAAGGTGTACCTGGGTTCACTGATGGGTTGCTGAAGTTCATTTCTAAGATGTTTATGCTTGTGGCATTTTCTTCATACAATTCCCAGACCACTATAAAACAGGTTTTTCAAAGCTGGCTATATTGACATTTGTGGGTGAAATATTCTTTGTTGCAGGGGACTGTCCTGCACACTACAAGATGCGTAGCAGAATCTCTGGTCTCTATCCACTAAATGTCAGTAGCACTTCCCAGTTATTACACTCAAAAACACCTCTAGACATAGCCGTATGTACCCTGGTTGAGAGCCACTGCTCTAAATTATGGATGACTATGGATATAACGAAAGTAACATAATTGGTGACAGTAGCTGTTCTCACCTCTGAAAGTTTTAGCAAGAGGAAATGGGAAGGTAACGGTCTATCATCCATTTAACCATTGTTTTATGAACACTGAAAACAAACTTGAAATGTTATGGTTTGGGTAACAGGGGAATTTATAAAGTCCCTGATATTTGTCAGATAAGCTTAAAGCTTGATTTACTATCCATCTATTTCCAAGGCAGTACATTTTATAAAGTTTAAAAAAGGACAAAATAAAGAAGGAAATATGGAGTTACTAGTTGAATACGGAAACAAAACACTGGTTTTTCATGGTTGTAAAATACCTTGCTTATATATCCATTTCTCTAAAAGGGAAACAGTATTTTAAGATAATGGATCTCTTGGTATACCCCACTGTGTTGTATGTGCCCCAGAAGCCAGAAAAGGAAGCAATCAATGGTTTTATTAGGTTGTGTCTGATACTTAAGCCCAGCAGTTGTTAAAGATGTAAGAGCAAATAAGGATTTAAGTAAAACATTATCTGATTAAAAGTTAAGTCCAATGGAGGCTAAAAAAATGAATGTAGAAGATAAGCACTAAAGAAACTTTTAGGTTATGTGACAATTCTCAGCACTTTTGCTTGTACCTAAAGATTTTAGAAAAAAGAAAAATTTCAGAATATTAAAAAATTATTTAAAAATCCAATATCTCAGGCATGTAATAAGTCTGAGTTTGGCTGAGGGCGCTTGTAATCCTAGAACTTTGGGAGGCTGAGGCAGGCAGATGGCTTGAGCTCAGGAGTTCAAGACCAGCCTGGGCAACATATGGAAACCCTGTCTCTACAAATACAAAAAATTAGCCAGGTGTGGTGGCATGCACCTGTAGTTCCAGCTACTTGGGGCACTGAGGCAGGAGGTCTAGGCTGCAGTGAGCTAAGATCACTCCACTCCACTCCAGCCTGGGTGACAAAGTGAGACCCTGTCTTACAAAAAAACAACAAAAAAAGTTTGAATTAAAATAACATTCTGGCCAGGTACAGTGGCTCATGCCTATAATTCCAGCACTTGGGAGGCCGAGGCCGAGGGATCACTTAAGCCCAAGAGTTAGAGACCAGCCTATAATGTAGTGAGATGCCATCTCTAACTCTCACACACACACACACATACACACACACAAACACACACACAAAATTAGCCTGGTGTAGTGACATGCCTATAGTCCAAGCTTCTAGGGAGGCTGAGGTGGGAGGATCACTTGAGCCCAGGAAGTTGAGGTTGCCCTGAGCTGTGATCACGCCACTGCACTCCAGCCTGGGTGATAGAGCAAGACCCCGTCTTAGAGGGAAAAGAAAAAAAAATTATTAAAAACCCCAAAAACCCAAAGTTCACATTTGACACTCCTGTTTACAAAGTACCACTACTTTAAAACTCACTATAAGGTTAAATGCTCAGGTTTCACCTGCAGTATGCGTAGATCTTATGTTGCTTCCCGCCAACCCCTCAAAATTTGCAGTCCCAATGGATGACCATAAGATTTTGCTGACTAAAGCAAGAATAAAAATGCTCACTGGGGATTTGTGATGGAAGAGGAGATGACCCTAAGTACCTCTGCAATGTGGGTCTGATTCTACTACTTTCTCTGTCATCTAATCTCTCTTCTACTCTGGTGCCAATCACTGGAAGAGTTACAAAAGTAGCCTAATATGCAGAAAGTTTTTGCAAAGTTGAGTTCTTCACAGAATGCAGTTTTATACTCTTCTCTTTAGTGAAGAACTCTAAAAACAGTGCCACAGACGAAGAAAGAAGCCTAGCAATTTGTTTCAAAC